GAGGACACGGTGGGGACATGGGGAGGGACAGAGGGGACAGGGAAAGGACCAGGAGAGATGGATGGAGGTGACCATGGAGGATGGAGGTGACCGTGGAGGATGGAGGTGACCGTGGAGCAGATGGAGGGGACCAGGAGGGACCAGGAGGGACCAGGAGGGACGGTGACACCCCCTCACCCTCCAGGTAGTTCCTGGCGACGAACTTGAGGGCCTCGTCCAGCAGGATGACGGGGAAGGAGATCTTCAGCACCATGAACCAGTGCGTCATGTCCAGGGGCGTCAGCTTGAAGATCATCTGGAGGGGGACGACACACGGACGGAGCATCAAGTCCCCACCCCCCTCCAGAGCCCCCGTGGCCACCAACCTGATGGTCACCACCACAGTGTCCACCATCCCCATGGCCACCAACCCTCACGGCCACCACCCTGATGGTCGTAAACTCCAATAGTCATCCCCCTCGATGGCCACCAACCTCCCCATGGCCACCAATTCCCATGGTCACCACCCTGATGGCCACCACCTTGATGGCCACCAACCTCCCGATGGCCACCAACCTCCCCATGGCCACCACCCTGATGATGACCAACCCCCATGGCCACCCCCCGCCAAGCCCCCTTACAGGCAGCGGGTCGACGTAGAGGATGACGAAGTGGAGGGACATGGAGAGGCAGATGGAACCCACCAGCCAGATGTTGACCCAAGGTGGCATCCGGATCAGGGACTGGTTCTCAGAGAGGCTGGGGGAGGGAGACGGCACGTGGGGATGGGGACACACCAAGGCGGTGCAGGCGGTGAAGGTGCTGCTGGTGGTGGTGGTGGTGGTGGTGATGAAGGTGGTGATGGTGGTGAAGGTGATGAAGATGGTGGGGATGGTGGGGATGATGGTGACGATGGTGGTGGTGGTGACGATGAAGGTGGTGGTGATGGTGGTGAAAATGGTGGTGGTGAAGGTAATGGTGGTGAAGGTGGTGATGGTGAAGGTGAAGGTGGTGATGGTGATGGTGAAGGTAGTGGTGGGGATGTTTGTGGTGGG